GAAACTTGTGCTGTCAGAATGACAGTCTTTCAGTCAAATCCAAAGCAAGACGCAATCCATAGCAACTAGGGGTGGAACATTTCTCGGTAAAAAATCGAACCGTACGGTTCTCCACACACGGTTCGGCACGCACTAGGACCGCTGTTCAACTTAAATCTGACAACGCATCTGTAATATGGTTTGTTATAAATAACACGTAAAACAAACAGGGTTCGGCTAATATATGTTTCTGTTTATAGATGCGCATTCTGGCTTCCCAATAGATTACAACAACAGCGATGGGAAAAAACAAAAAAATGGACAAACCATTCACTCTTTTTCAATGCGAATGCTAGAATATGAGCAGTCATTTATTCTGTCATCGTGCTGATAGCGTGCATGCACAAGTGAGACCTGAACAGCACACGTTGATATCTGTGTTTAAACTAAACTCATTTAAGCTTTGCCAGTTAAAACATTTAAGAGCCAGAGGACGCGAGCTCACGCACGCAGTGAGAAGATTTGTGCGTGCACTTGTCCAATGCGCGCAAACCTGCACCTCAGACCGTGCGCAAATATTAAGCTCTCTCTGAAGTATCATGTTTGAATGGACAAATTCACACAAAAATTGTCAAATTGCCTGTCTTGGTAAGTATCCTATAGCAGACCTGCTGCTAAAAAGAACATTATTTTGTGTATTTGGTGTAATGAAATGTTTATGCGGTTTAAAGTAAAAAAAACACATTATTTTCCACATACTGTACATTATTGTTTCTCCTCTATGCCCCGCCTACTGAAACGCGCCGATTTTTACAAAGCTCATCGGTCTGAAAAAGCGAGGTGTGCTGTGATTGGCCAGCTATCCAGTGCGTTGTGATTGGCCAAATACCTCAAGCGTGAGACGGAAATGTTACGCCCCTCACCATACTGTGTTGATGCCGTGTCCGGCCGGAGCGATGATTCAAAAACATGAAAACCCATTATAAACGAGGCATTTGTTGCATCCAGTGGGGACATAATTACTGATTATAATGACTTATAGTGTCGTTTCACGCATTGCGTTGCATTGCGCCGCGTAAACATAAAACCATGTCTGCATTTGTGATCAGAGAAATGACAAACAACAAGTGCTACTCTACACTGCCCAAAACTCACGTTTGAATCATCAGTGGCAAATCCTTTTAATGAAAACGTACTTACGGGAGTCAGAACTGCCGGCATTTTAGTCTAACGTTACTCTCCCAGGATCAGTAAACAGTCCGCCATAAAATGTGCCGGTGATCCACAGCACAAAGTTGAAGTATTTCCTCAGCGACCAGCACGGATCAGCTCTAGGCATGACGAAGCGGATATCGTCCTCTTTTGGAAGACCAAACAAAGTAGTTTCGTTTTCACAACGAAGCACACAGCGTCTTCACGACATGGTGACGGCAACAATACTACAGCGAGAATAAAAGTTACGCCTTCTTTCTTTGCGTGAACATTTGGGCAGCGTTATGCTAATCTTCCCACATAGTGCGGTAGATATGTGGGGGCGTATTTAAACAAGACATTTTAGGTAGGTGTGGTTGAGTCTTAACTTTTATAAAGAATATCTCTTTGGATATGAAACTTTAGTCTTTGCAAATTTACAGATCTTCTTTGTGCACCAAGAGCTTGTAACACTCCAAAGAGAAAGGAAAAAATTAAATTGCATCAAATGACCCCTTTAATCAAACAGCAACAACAAAGAAATCACTCACTGCTCTTGATTGAATAGCTTTTGTAACTTTAATAAAGATTAATCTTTCATTTATACAGTAAAATATGCAATGCTATTTTACATGAAAATATTGTTACAATGTTGACTAATGTTACACCTACCTAAAGAAAAACTGAAAATCACTGTTTATTTTATTTGTATCTTTACTCTATTGTATTTATTTGTGCTGTTGCATGTAGTTAGATTATTCTTATTCTCTTTATTTTTATTTGACAGTATCGTTTTTCCCTAAACATAGCACATACTGAACCATACCGAAACCGTGACCGTGACTGTGATACATTGAAAATGAAAGCTCAAACGTGTGTGAGGCGTTAAAACAGACCTCACTGATTCTCACGTGTCATACACGCACAATTATTTTTCTTTTGGTTTTAATGGCAGTTGAACATGCACATTTGAGCGTATTCTTTACCTTTGAATGGCTCTAGAAAAATAAAAATATGGAATCCAGAAAAATGAAAACGGAAAAAACTTGAAAAAAAATAAAACGGAATTTGGGGAAAAAAATTAAAAAATTTCATAGAGCCCTACCTAGCAACCACAGCAACATGCTGAAGACCATTCAGAACATTCTGAAACCACACACTGTAGTAACAGTGATATCATTTTTTGTCATTATCGCACACCCCATATCTGAATATGAATATGCCTACTTCCAAAGCCCATGTTTTACTCCTATTAAATGCCATACTGTGGCATCACAATGCTAGGTGACATTGCCCCAGAAATAATAACGATAAACAATATTGTCATTTTAGTGATGGTACATTTTTACCATCACTAAATTTTATAAATGGTATGAAACAGTAGGATTTTTAGAAAGGAAAATTTTAAAGAGATATAAAGAAGAATGTAGGAGAATCGATAAATTATGAATAAATTACTGCTCTTGTGTGACTAACATGTAATCATGTATTCCATAAAAAGTAACTGTAATATGATTACGAGCATTTTAAAATGTAACACTCTAATCCCAGATTACATGTAATCAGTTACTACCAAGCACTGGCAAACACATAGCAATGTTTAAAAAACTCACACCATACACTTTGTATGCCCTGGCAACCACTTCCAACAGCTTAGCATTTTACTGCCATTCCAAGCACCGCTAGAATTTATTTAATTTTTTTGGGAGAATGTAAATATCTAGTTGGAGTTAATCAGTACCACTATAACCTAGAGAAAATAATGTAGGATGACCTGTTTGAGGATTAACAAGGAACAGTTTGATGCCTCCCTTCCTCATTTATGCACTGTTGTGGTCAAACCAACCAAACCTGCAGCATATTCTGGCCTCTCCCATGATCCCCTTGGCTCTCTCACGTGGATGCTCATATGTATGTGTAGGATGTTCCAGCACACAATGATAATCTCTTCCCATGTGATCCACATCTCATTTAGCCTAAATGGTCCTAGAAACCAGTTTTTTGCTGAAAGGACCCTGAATGTCGTCCATCCATACCATCCGCTCATGTTCAAGCGGATCATCTCACAGTTATCTAATCTATGCCTTTAAAATGAATTGCTTCACTTCTGCTGTGGGCCGTAGCCATATGTCACTCTAAAGATGTGCAACTGATTATGTGCAAGCTGCTGAAGTGTATGAATGAGTTCTCCATCTAAAATGGATTGTGGCTGATTTAGATTCTGAGCCACATGCTGGTGAGTCTTTGTCTTTACATGGGACTAAAACAATGTCATTTATGTTCTGAGGACAACTAGCGGCAGACCACGTTAGTTGTCATGGAAACTGTCTGCTAAGGTTAGGCTCAGGCAGACGGCTGCTTATTTTGGGATATTATCTATTGGTGGTGTGAGAGGAAATAAGGGTCTGTTATTGCCACAGTATGGCATTTAATAGGAGTAAAACATGGGCTTTGAAAGTAGGCATATTCATATTCAGATATGGGGTGTGCGATAATGACAAAAAATGATATCACAATATTTTTTGGAATTTTGTCGATAACGATAATTAGGCGATATTTTGCTGAGCGTGTTATTGTGCTGGTACTTTGGCAGGTTTAGGACTGCCATGGACAGCTGACTCCCAAAGCTTTTGATATTCTTCATATTCTGTGCGGTGGTTAGTTTGCAGCAGTAACAGAAATGAACTTTTGCAACAAGTTTAAATTGATTTTTAGCTTTTATAGGCATTTTTACCTTTATACAATTTTTTTTCTAACCTAATTCAATGTATGCAGCATTTTTTGTGTCAAATTCCTAAATTTAATCAGAGTCTGAATCTGCATCTGAAGTGGCATTTAGCTGCATTCACACGGACTGTTTAATGCAGGACATGAATACATTTAACCTGCAGTTACAAATGCATAATTAATGTTGTGTTGTTTTGAAAAAAAAAAGAGAAACACACTGAATACTGATATTTGAAATAATAAGTGGAGCTGGGGAAGGAGGTGCGTTTCTGAAGCGAGCTGCAACTGCTAATGCAAGCACTAGCTATTTGAATGTTGAGCAGCAGGCTCATTGGCTGCTGCGTCATGTGAATAATGATGTCATTATGTCAGATTAAGTTGGAAACTATCGGACTGCGCCATATCCACCTTATTTTTCAATGCGGAAGTAAGCCTTTTTCTGTCAATGTGCGAGACTTCCGTTTCATTAGCCGCTGTAGGGCTAATGATTATTTCATTAGAAATAATGAGAAGAATAACAAAGTGCAGTAAACGGCAAAACTGTTTGCACTACAAACCAGTGCGTTCATAATTAAGATAATACATTAAAATAATATGGTAAGACACACCAGTTTGAAATATCAAGCCGCAAAATTAGCTGTTTTGTACAGCTAAAAATAGCTGAAAGTGGATGACACCGGAAGTCAGATACATTAAATTTACAAATGGCCGCAGCCGCTCTAACGGGAAAAATTAGATGGATAGAGTTTCATGACAGAACTTTGGCATGCATTAAATTGTTCAAAATGGACAGTAAAAACATTTATAATTTTATATAAAACAATCCTGTGACTGAAGACTGGAGTAATTGCTTCTGAAAATTCAGCTTTGCCATCACAGGAATAAACTACATTCTAAAATATATTAATGATATTATTACCGACCCCAAACTTTTGAACAGTACTGTCTATGTGTTTATATGTGTATGTGTGAAGCTCTGCTTGCCATATGCTTTGCTGTAAATCATAGAATAGATTGTAGGATGAGTTATCTGTTAGTTATCATCTATAAGATAATTAATTTGTATGTGTGACTGTGTTTAATAAATGTGTTCTGTTTTGTAGAGAAACGATGAGGAAGCCGTGCTGGACAGGGGCGGGACTCGGTCCATGCTCAACACAAATTTTGAGAAAGAGGAGCTAGAAGGTAATTGAAGCTTATTAAACACACACTCTAAACCTGGGAGTCAAACACACTGCCTGATGCATTAATATTTAAAAATTCAATTAAATTATGCTTTAAAAACATTATATAAAAACACAATATATTTATAATATTCAATTTTATAGCTTTTTTTTTGTTGTGTGCATCATGTTACTCAAATCTTAAAGCAGTAGAACCTTTCTAAACCTTAGCTAAAATTGCAGCAAATACATAGAAATTAATAAGTGAAATTCTTAGGACCGTACACCTTCTTTTTTTAGGCCTGAATTTGTGTTATTTTTAGATTAGATTATTAAACCTAACACTATCTAGCCAATAGCAATGAATTGCTTTCTCTTGTGCATATAGTTTTTGTTTACTATCCCAATATTATTTACTAAAGCAGCATAAAGTTGATTCTAAACATCATTAGCTCCAGAAGAGCATATGTTGTGCACCAAATTTGCTTTCAACAGACATTTGGCATGCTTTAAACACAGGCTCTCAAACGTTTTGTAGAATGGTGCCCTAATTTTCAGACAACAGAGAAGCAGAGAGGAAATAAATCCGCTGTTTGACATTAGCTGTTCTTAGTCCTGAGGAAATATTCCATTTAGAGAAACATTTCATTCCAGCTCCTTCACACACACACACACTTGGAGCCAGAGAGTGTCTGTGCCTAAAGAACCTCTCTGTTTCATCCCCATCCTTACTTAACCCTATATAAAGACCCCCAATTGGAGAGAAAGTGTATTTTTTTTCCAGTTTTAGTGAGTTGAATTTATCTACGTCTTTGTGGTGTTTAGAGGATATTTCACTGATGTGAAAGGAAGTGATTCATCTTTGTATGAAGTACAACATGGTCACACAAACCCACACCTTAAGGCTTATGGGGGAAGATACCAGTGAAGGTAATGAGATAAAAGCACACGTGTGTGTGTTTGTTTCAGCCCTGGAGGTCTTTATCACTTATTTAGATGCTAAATTGCACGACTGAGTGAGCCAGTGAAACTAAAGCTCATTAGAGTGTCTATCTCGGTGGACGGTGGTGATATTAAAAAGTGATGAGGTGATTCAGAAGACACAGTCAGCATGGACAATATTTCTGTTCTACTTTTGATCGCCATCTGTCTGCTTCACACACTTAAGTCGTGATGTAAAGGTCTGTTTTGTGGCTTTTCTGTGTCAGTGCCCAGGGCTGGAAGCATACAAGCACACGTATGTGCTCTCTCCCCACAGACACACACTGTCAGAGTGCATCTCAGTTCAGAGAGCTGGAGGGAGAGAGTGAGAGAGGGATTTAATGCTATAGTTTAATCTGAGACTGTAAACAAGAACAGAAACACAAAGTACAGAACCGCCGAATCTGATTATATGACTGCAGAGATTGGATCTTGCACAACATCCTTCTACATCTGCTAGACACTTTAAGATTGAGGAACAGTTCACCCCAAAAAACATTTTGTCATGATTTACTCGCTCTCATGTTGATTAAGAACTACATGGCTTTCTTTCTTCCATGGAAATTTGTAAGCATCCAGTGACAGTAACAGTAATTAAGACAACATGTTTTCTCTGGCAAAATGGCACAGAAATATCATGTCAAATAAATAGTCAAATAACAAAAATAATTACAAAATTTAAAACAAATCCCAAATCAATCAAATAAATAAATTAATTAATTAATAAATAAATAAAACAAATAGAAGAAATATCTTCATATAAACAAACTAAATGTTTTTCTATCTTTTAAAAAAATAAATATCAGCATGTCCACATTTTCCAGCGAGAAATTCCTCTTGTACAGAAAAATGCATTTGAAGCAAAAACAGAATCGTCTGACTTTAGCTTTCTGAAATTATGCTACATAAAACTATAAAAGCAGACGGGCTGAATGAGAACGCAGATTCTCTCTCTGACAGCAGGTGGCGCTTATGGAACAACAGGAATATAGCATTTCCTTGCTGTAAACAAGGCAGCGCTCCGCTTATTAACACTAATTTAATATGCATTATAGGGTGGCAAGATGAAAAGAAAATACCATCTAAACATTTCTGAAGACAGTCAGTTCCCCTCAGAGATGCATTCATAAAACCCCGAGCCCCAAATTTATCAACCAACTTGTATTGTCAAATATTTTCAGCGATTTTCAACCGGCTCCGGATGCATCGTGCGTTATATCCCTATACATTAAACATCAGTATGCTGAACAGGAAAGCTACTCTCTTGTCTGATTTCACAGCCTTGTTGTGTTAATAATTGCGCTCTTATATACCATTCTAACTCAAACTTCCCAACTTATTCAAAAAAAGATGTTATATAAGTAATATTGTGTTCATTTGTGAAGATCTTAATGAACAAAATGTGTAAGAATGATAAACTTTTGTTGTGCACAAAGCTCTTTTTCTGCAATAATCCAGAAGCCAATGGATAAATTCTATTGATGCTAACTTCCGGGTTGGCCTACAAAAAATATGTTATCACTGTAGTGCCCTATAGCTACTTTGTTTAGAACATTTTGTGATAGCTGGCCTCTTCTGTTTGTCCCTGGCAGGCCACCGTACCCTCTACATCGGGGTGCATGTACCACTGGGTCGGAGGTCACACAGACGGCATCGTCACCATGGACATCGCCACAGGAAGAGGTCACGGGAGAGAGACTCTGGAACCGAGGATGGCAGAGAATCACCTTCATATAGTAAGACTGTCACTCTACAAGGATAAATTAAAATTTGATTGAGTCAAAAAGGACAGAGATAAATAATAAAATGTGTCTCTGTATTTCTGTAGCAGACACACCATCTCAGCGTGTACAGTTCCTGCTGGGAATGGAGGATGACGAGGAACACATTCCTCACGCTCTCTTCACAGAGCTGGACGAAATCTGCCTGAAAGAGGGAGAGGATGCGGAATGGAAAGAGACGGCGAGGTACAAATACACACACACGCACGCAGAGGATACACAATGAAGCAGGGACATTTTTGTGGGAAAATTAATAATACAACTAAATTATTTTATAAACCGTATTTATATATATATATAAGTATTTTTTAAATTATATTGTTATCAATATAGTCAATAAATTTACCAATATTGTAGAAATATAATAAAATTAGGGATGCTTTGGATCTAGATTTATCGGCCAACATATCGGTTATTGGCTTTCAAAAATAAAGGATTATCGGTTATCGGTATCGGGCAACATTTTCATATCGGTGCATCCCTAAATAAAATAATAAAATATACAAAAATAATTAATAACAAATATTAATAAATTTTTTAAATATGACTTATTAAAATATAATTATATTTTTTTCATGTACATGTAAAGATAGATAGATAGATATTTTCCTAAAAATACTGTTATCAGTATTATATACATTTTAAAATATTATATATATATATATATATATATATATATATACACACACACACATACACACGCTATAAAATAGAAATGGATTATATCAAATATGATAAAATTATAATGTTAAATATTTTTCAAATTATTATTGCAGTTATTACAAACATTTAATTATATTGTTATCAATATTATAGTATGGTATTATAGTATAACATAACATGAATTTTGAAGTAAAAAAACAACAGAAAGAGAAAACGTAAGTCACGCATTACTACAAGGAGAGTATGATAGATTGTCATCGGCATATATCCATTAGGCGTATATCCATTACTGCTAATGCAGTACAAGTTTGTGGTACTGCAGCTAAATGAGAGAACTAATGTAATATTCATTCTCATTCACGCTCTCTTTTTTTCCACTCTTCCTGTTATATTCTTTCTCCTGTCCCTTGTTTGCCTGTAGATGGCTGAAGTTTGAGGAGGATGTAGAGGATGGAGGGGAGAGGTGGAGTAAGCCATATGTGGCTACTCTTTCCCTTCACAGTCTGTTTGAGCTGCGGAGCTGCATTCTCAACGGCACCGTCATGCTGGACATGAGGGCCAACTCACTGGAGGAGATCGCAGGTACTGAGTTTGAAAACATTGTCCAGACTAGATCTTCTGAAGGCCTTCCTTACAGATCCAAAGCAATCAGCATTTTATTTACTAGGATTAGCTCATTTCAGCAATATAGCCCCATTTAGCAAGTGTCACAATTAAATAGCTTGCAGTATTAGATTTGTGCATCACAAATGATAGTATGTTGAAAATAATGTGCCACAGGTGCTATTGATTTACTTTTTAGGGTGGATTTTCACAATCTGTGCATGTTTTTTGACTAATATTCTAATGCATGCCAACAACCCATAACAAGCGATCAATGACACACCAGTAAGATTTTAAATGTTTTCTAAAGAAGTTTCTTATGCTCATGAAGGCTGAATTTATTTGATCAAAAACACATTGTGAATATAGACTATATTGTGAAATATTAATGCAATTTAAAATATTGACTTTCTGTTTTAAGATACTTTAAAATGTAATTTAATCTTGTGGTGGTAAAGCTGAATTTTCAGCAGCCATTACTCCAGTCTTCAGCGTCACATTTTTCCTTCAGAAATCATTCTAATATACTGATTTATTATCAATGTTGGAAACAGTTGTGCTGCTTAATATTTTTTTGGAACCTATGATACTTTTTTTTTTTTTTAGGATTTTTTAATGAATAAAAAGTAAAAAAACAGCATTTATTCAAAATAGAAATCTTTTGTAACAACATACACTACTATTAAAAAGTTTGGGGTCAGTATGTTTTTTTTTAAAGAAATTAACTGTCCTATTCTGCAAGGATATGCTAAATTGATCAAAAGTGATAGTAAATACTTTTATTGTTACAAAAGATTTCGATTTTAAATAAATTGCTGATCCCTTTTCACTGTTGCACTGTGGTGAGGGAACAGCTGTATGTGTTACTAAGCGTGAAAGTTACGAAACTGAAGCTGTAGAACTAATAGAACGTGATGACACAGAAGAACTCATCCACATTGACCACCACAAATATCCACCGCCCCCTGCCATCAGC